GCAACAAAATTGCTAGATCTAATTTTCTCCAATAAAGGTGTGATTTCAAATATATTGCATACCGCCGATAGTTTAGTTAATGAGGATAATCATCATCCTGCTATCGAGTTTTTTATTCCAACAAAAGGCTCAGCTTGTTACCTCAAGAGAACCGTACTGTTCACAACTTTAAAAAGGCAGACTGCGAAGCTATAAAATCATTTTTTAACAATATAAACTGGGTCAAGCTGTTCGATGTCGATAGCCTGGACAAAATGGTTGATATTTTTTATGAAAAACTAAACTCAGCAATAGCCTCAAACGTACCTACATTTAAAGTAAGAGGGAACTTTCCCTCTTATTTTAAGCACGATACGATCAAGAAGATCAAAGAAAAAACCAAATTTCATAAAAAATACAGATCTTATAAAGAACCTCGCTAGTATCAGGAATTCTGTGAATTAAGGAAACAGTCAAAACAAATGATAGCTGAGGATTTCAGAGACTATGTGAAAAACATTGAAGAAGAAAAGTTTTAAACAGAAAAAAAAATTGAAAATATGTTGCCAGCAAAAAGAAAAATCACGAATCTATACCCAGCACAGTTTACTATAAAGATAATATTGCTCGTGATGCTGAAAATGTGTGCAACTTATTCTCGGAATTTTTTCCAGCGTTTTTGTTGAACCTAAAATGTTAGTCCTCTAAAAGTAAATGGAAATCATAGTATTTCATACTCATTGCCTTTAGAGACAGTTAAAAATCTCATTTGTAATATTGGCGAGAACAAAGGTTCAGGACTCGACAACATCCCTCCCATTTTCATTAAAAGAGAAAGTATATGTGTACCTTTACAGATTATATTTAACGCAAGTCTAAAACTAAAATATTTTCCTACTAAATGGAAGGTTGCACATATACTTCCGATATTCAAAAATGGAGATAAACAACTGGTAACTAATTATATACCTATCAGTGGTCTGTGCACTTTTGCAAAGTTGCTCGAAAAAGTTGTTTACAACCTAATAATTCCATCAGTAAAAAACATAATAATCGACGAACAGCACGGATTTTTTCAAACCGTTCCCTAGAATCTAATTTTTTATGTTACACTGATTATATTTGTGAAGCCCTAGATAGCAAGACTCAAGTCGATTGCATACACACTGACTTCAGCAAGGCTTTTAATAAGATAAATCACGAATTTCTAGTTGAAAGCTTGCTGAGACTGGTGTCGATGATGCACTGTTATTGGATATGGACTTACATTACCAATCGTAAGCAAATTGTACCTATCAACGGTTTCAAGTTGCTGCCAGTTACGGTTACGTCTGGCGTCCCACAAGGAAGTCACCTAGGACCTTTATTATTTATAATTTTTATCAACAACTTAAAGAAATCTTTTAAATATGCAAATTGTCTATTATAGGCCGATGACTTGAAAATATGTACAGTGAGAGACATTAATGACTGTAAAGAAATCCAAAGTGATATAGATACTTTTGTCAATTTTTGTGACAATAATGATTTGTTTCTAAATGCTGATAAATGTACTTTTATTAGACTCTCCCGGAACAAATCTCTCATAGAATACCGGTACCAAATCAAACATATACCTTTGAAGGAAACGGATGTAGTGAAGGACCTAGGAGTCCTCCTAGATGCAAACATGACTTTCCAACCACACATAGAAAACTTGATTTGCGAATCAAACAAAATGTTGGGATTTATCTGTAAAATCTGCAGGGATTTCAAGAGTGCAAGAGCCATGACATCCCTATATTATGCATATATTTATAACAAGTTGAACTTTGCGTCCGTTATATGGAACCCTCAGTATATTACATAAATAAATCGAATTGAAAGTGTACAAAATAGATTCTGAAGAGATTAAGTTTTAAAATCGGCAATCCGGTACGTGACGGAAACTATGATCATACTAGACAACATTTCAATATCATGACCTTAAAAAGTAGAATGATGTCCGACGTGTGTCTTATATACAAAATATTCAACAATTTTGACTGTCCCTATTTGCTTTCAAAAATAAATATTAATGTGCCAGATAGAACTACCGCATTCCAAGTTTTTCAGGATTCCCTTCTGTAGAACGAATTTAGGAGTCAACTCACCTGTAATTAGGGCCCAGAGAGTGTTTAACGATACCTCTATAAATTTTGACATTTTTTCTGGTTAATTTTAACAAGCTTAAAGCAAGGGTAAGGAGGCAGGCTTTACATAGGATAGTATCATACTATCTAATTGTTTGTTGGCTGTGATACTGATGTCAATCATAATACTTTTATACACTTTTATATAGTATTTTATATGTTTGGTTATCAAAGCTGTCTAGTAACGTGCTCTGTGTTTGTGTTTTTTGGTGACTAGTGCGATTCATGGAATAAACATCACTGGGTATTATAAAGTATGTTATAAACTAATACAACAAGTTTTAAACCCACCAAAATCACCAACAAATCGCACTATATAGTATTAATCACGATACACTTGCTCTGCAGTGACGTTACGACAATCCTGCCAACTGGTAACGACGAGCCGACAACTCTCTGGGTGACGTCACGAAGCTCCGCCCACATGCGCAACATCCTATCTTCAGTGTATGTGTATCGTGGTCTGCACCCATTATAGACAACAAACTAAAGTAAACTTAACAGTACTATTAAAACCTCACACAATATGTGCAGGTTGTCCCAACGGAAATGAAAAGTATTTTAATCGAAAAACTATGAAAGATTTCGAAACCGATTTGCGTAGCAAGATTGACATCTTATATGTGTGTAAATCTAAATTATTTGGAGGGTATGCAGGGTATTGCACAATTCTGCGGTAACATAAAACATGTTTTTGAATGATACACTCTATTTTATCATGTTATAATCAAATAACTGGTCTAATAAAATAGTATTACATCCGATATCAGTTTCAATTAAATGTTTGAGGAAAACAAGGTCTTGCGTTTTGTAGTATCCTGTCAGAGTTTCTCGTCCTTTTTCCAAAATTCAGTGAAAAACTTTTTGATAACTGGTAAAATAAACTAAACGAATAATCAAAATACTACAGTATATCAATAGTCCTGTTTTCGAAAGGTATTCCAAATATCAAATATAATATAGGGTGTTCATTAATAAAACATGTTTGTTTGCCACGGAATTGTGCCGCACCCTATATATTTCCAAAATAATTCAGAGATGCACACCTTCAAGTATCAAACTTTTTCCGGAAACCGTTTTCTTTTCTA